CTTATCTACTATTCGATAAATACATTAGCATAACTAAAAATAATCTAATGCGTACTGATAATTTATTATCTAGCGAAACCACAGCCGCTCTGCTGCTGGTTTCGTTGACCGATGACGGTCGGTATAGATTGCGTCCACGGGTTGCGGATAGTGGGAGGCCCGGTTCCCCGGGATTCGTCTCGGGTCGGGTAGCGTGTTAATAACTAATAGCACGCCGCAGACAGCTACGATCAAATGACCGGTAGTTCCGGGCGGTGTGCCCGCCCGGCCGGTTCACGGTCGCTGTTGAGGCAACCGACCCCAGCAGTGGTGCTTTCAGCGTGCTTTCTTTTCGAGCGTTGAAAGCACGGATGCCGGAGCTTGCTCCGTCCTACAGACAAGCGTCTCAGCATCAGTCGGGCTCGTGAAATCGATGGGGGCATAGTGGAGATGGATCGGACTTGCGGCTGACGGCTTGTCTGTAGGGAGTCCCTCAATTCGGTAGGCGGAGGCGGCCGTCGAAATATGTCCACATATGCTGACTTGCATGAACGGTAGCATGGAGGCCAGGTTAGCCCAGGGCGGCGTTCGAACCAGGTTCGTCGCCCGCCTGGCCAGCGGATAGATAATATCATTCTACTTTTAAATGTATGGTATGTTCATGGATAATAGATAAAGAATAGGACATGCCTATGGGAATCACATACTTGGTAGCTTGCCAGAAGAACCCATAAATTGATAAATACCATTATTTCTCGTTAAAACCATTGTAGATTTATCAAAATTAAAATACCCGATAACAAAAAGAAAAAAATTTTAAATGACGAATAATATTCTAATATTACAATAATAACTCAATAACATGTAACCCTGCAACATCATTCGTCTGCAGTTAACCAAAAATCATACCGTACAGTTACCATTATGTTTACGTTGGAGCATTTTCGGAATGTGGTTTGAAGTCAAAATAATATGTTCTATCCATTTGGTATTTTCTATTTGTTTGTGTATCCATGGCAAAATATTTTATTAAGTAATAAAACTCCCTAACTGTAATAAAGCCTACTAAATAACCCAGACTAATGCTCTTAGATGTTAAAGCCTTAATTTAATAAAGAAAAAAATAAAGTTAAAAAAAAAATGATATTAAATATTTATTTAGAGGTTTTGCTTGCATTTATTCGTATCTATGGATTATGCATTTTGCTTATACAATGAAGTATAATATATTATGAACACAACATTTTTTTACATGCATTGTTTTATAAAATATGTGTTACTGCAGTTACTTATTTATAAGACTTATTTTTAATACATATGTATTTATATTCATTGTAGTACCTAAGTATTTTTGACATTACCCGTTTGAAATAATTTGTAATACATTTTTTTTCAATATATTTAATTATCTATAACTACCTAATAAGTTTAATTCAATATTGTTCGTAAAAAGGTTATAAAATATATTTGATTGCAATTATGCTGTTTTAATATTATGTGCTTAATTTAAATCAATAATTAATGTTCGTATAATGTAAGTATGTATACCCATTGTTTGTATAAATATTAAATATCTAGGTATTTTATTAAGCTTAATTTATTTTATAATGTAAAATCTTTGGAGTTTGTGGTATTAAAAACAAATTAATATTAAATATGTTGTGAATGTATATTCATAGCAATCAAAATCTATTTAAACACACATTTTTTAGAGTTTGATTGCATGTCCATTAAGTCAGCTACCAAAGGTAATATTTAAAACCTGCAGAAATGACACTATTCTTTCTGCCGAAGAATAATCGAGTTCACAGACTCACGATAACCTTTTGAGAAAACCACCTACCACTCTTTGGTCAGCATATAGTCAGTACCTAACAAGTAACAACCTCCTAGTACCGAATCCTACGAGCGACAACTGGACTTCTTATGACGAGAACGGAGAAATAATCAGTGTGTGCTCATTATTTCGATTTGTATTTTTTGAAGTATTACTTTATGTCACCTGAAACGGCCGTATTTATGCAAAAACATATAATGTATAGAGAATTCTACAGAATATCTACATTTAAAAAGGTGCTCTGCTGTACAGTAGGTTACAAGTGGGTCACTGTATTGTATATACCTAATGGATGGTATTAAATTTGAATTCAATGATATAATATCATTGTATAAGAAAAACGATTCTGAGCAGAGACGGTATGTCAGTCTAGGTATAAGACATATATTATATACTCATCTATGGTATACAAAAAAATTTACTTATAATAGGTACCTATAATAAATTCCAAATTAATCATATCACAATATCCAATAGGTACGGTACTTATAACGCGTTATACATCAACAACAAACCCTGATACTATCATACATATAGAATAGTGTACTTTAGAAGTTTCAAGTACCCACGAATAATATTATACAATCACAACAAAATAACAAAAATAGTTCTTCTAGGTTTTTTATTATGTAATTTCGTAGAA